GAAAGGCAAAGCGGCAGCTGATGGTGTGAAGTTCATGGACTCATAGATGGGCTGGAGAGCCTCGGTGAAGATATAGACCAAGGCGAAGGAGAAGGCGATCATCATGGCCATTGTAAATATGAGAAGCTCACCGAAGAAGAGCTGCAGCGGTCGGAACAGCGAGGCTTTGACGAAGGTGCGGAGGTCAGGGGAGTGGTCGTGGGTCAGAGGCTGTAGGCTGTCGTGGCCCGTTTCGTGGCGGATGCGTGAGACCTCTTGGGCCAGGAGCAGGGCAGGACGTGATTCCCGGATGAGAAGGAAGAACGCGCTCATGACAGCGAGGATAATCGTGTATATGTTAAATACCCAGCGCCTACAGAATTAGAACCAGCTTTGGATAGCCGTATCGGGAGACATACCAATGTAGATTTTCAACAACAAGGATGCTGATAATTGGGCCGATTAGGAGACCGACGTTCGAGGCAATGGTCCAGAGAAAGGTGGTCCAGATGCGAGATCGCGAGTTGAACATGTCCTCATTGCTGCCGCTGCCAACGGTGTATGGGATAGCACTCAAGAATCCTCCGACGATGCGACAGATAACCACGGCGACCAAAGAATGAACGACCCCGATGATCAGGCAACATAACGCACTACCGGTGCTGCTGATAAAATATAGTTTTTTGCGTCCAAAGCACTCGGACCAAGGAGGGAAGACAATCGCGCCAACAACCTGCCCCATGAGGAATCTGTATGGTCAGTCGAGTACGGTCAGAAGTCTGGAAGAACGTACAATGTCACGAAACAGAATGTGCACAGGGTATTTCCAATATGGTACTCATTTTGAGCTTCTGAAGCCGCCGATGTCTATGATCATTAGAAATGCCACACTGTTGGATGAGAAACATACACCAGCAGTACTCGTAGCGGTTCTGCGGTTGTTAGCAGTGTACCAACATCAAGGTGTAAATACATACACAAAGAGATCCAGCAGAAAGATTAACCCAATATCATACACCTTGCGTGTTGCACTCCAGTTGCGAGGGTGCTTCTTGTTGCCCTTTGCCCACCGGATATATTGTCCATCTGGCGTGAACTCCAGGTCATTCTTTAGCAAGTATTCGTCCATGTCCTGAGTCTGGCCGACCTGCTGCGCTTTCGGTGGGCCTGCTCCAGTGTCTTCCTCGTCTGCCGATTTGTAGTCACAGGGGGCTATATGTAGTTCGTTCATGATTGGGGCCATGTCTACAGGACATATCTAAAAGTAGGACTGTGGTTTCAGTCGATCATCCCTGTAAGGTGAATCTCCCCTGGTCCGCGACATGTAGTACTTAGATAGTGCATAGCACGCGTCAGGCACTGAATCTGGTAGAGGATCATCGTGCATTGAGTTACTTTGCATGTCCGCCAGAGAGCTTATGTGGATAAACTCGTGTCCATCCTACCAATCAAGGGGTGCTCCATGATCTGGAGATATGCGCAGGTGATGGCCCAGCACGCAAAAAGATGCTGAAATGGAGGTTTGGAGCACTGCTGGGGGCACGCGGGGTTTATGGAAATGTATTTTCCGAAAAGCACGAGTACTCATTGGACGGCGCCGTGGTCAGGCAAGGAAATCTCTATAAGACCAGGAAAGCCGAAGGAAGCCAGTCCAAGGTAACGGGTGTATAGCGAGGAATGTTTGCGCAGCATTCCAATTAGCTGATAGGGATCGATCCATATTCTACGTGACCAGTGCAGTGGAACGGATGCAAGGGACAAGCAGATGACGAGTGATCTGCAGCAGGCATTCCGTACCAGTGTATTGCGGAAATTCTGGAGACAGCAACGGTACTTTATGCGCTTAAGACGATCCCCCAGAGCTTTTTTGTACTTCATCGGCTGCCTGATATACCCGGTGCGTCTGCCTGTTTCAAAGTGCGGCAAGATCAAATTAGCATCAGCTGGTGGTGTCGTCAGCTTAGTGGCTGGCGACAGTTGGGATGGTAAATCTGCAGATCGAGAGGCGGAAAGCTCAATATAATCTTCAAGGTGGTTTCAGTTCCCCTGCTGCTCGTCGGAGAGATGGATGCGTCACAGATGTCCCTCGCAGGCAACTAATGTGCGAGCAGACGCATAATCTTGATGCCCCAGCTCTTGAAGTTGGGGTATAGTAAGGTCATGGTGAGCAAGTGATCCATTGCCAGCAGCAAGAGCTAGGGGTATAAGTGCAATAACCTGTTCAAAATACTTGTGCAGCTCAATCTGTAGATTCCAAATGCAGGAGAGCACACCTCTACAGAAGCGTCGTCTCCTAGGGAGCGTGGGAGGTTGTGTTGCAGGCCATAAGTGGGTATATACGTTGGACGACCGTCATCGATGGGGAAGTAGCATTGGCTCAACCAGAGCAGTGGATGTATGGAGTAGCAACCACGCGAGCGATACCGTGTCCAAGGAAGTCCCATTAACAAAAAATGACCCTGTGGAATGTTGATGACATCCCAACGGGGCAACTGGCCGGGGCTGGTTCAACACCCCACATCAGGCAAGCCTGAGGGCGATCTCCCCCTGGGTTCACCGCCTGCCCTAACCCCCGCCGGTTCTGCCGGACCCCGCAGAAGCAGCAGCTGCAGGACATGCCCTCAACTCAACAGTCAACACTCTTCTTATTAGCCGTTCTCCATTATCAGTTACCACTTCTCTCACCGACAGCATGCCCCCTCACGAAGGACTGGTCCACCCCAAAGAATACGACATCAAGGACAGCAATGTGGAACTAATCGGTTCCGACCTTGACCACCGTGTCAAGTACAACTCCGCCGCTACCGAGCCCGCTTGGAACAACGGTTCTATCGGCCAGGAGCCGGGTCTGTTTGTGTGGAGGATCGAGAATTTCGAGGTTATACCATGGCCCAAGGAGCGTACGGGAGAGTTCTACAACGGAGACAGCTACATCGTGCTGCACTCGTACAAGGTGGGGGACAAGCTGGGTCATGACATCTTCTTCTGGCTGGGCAGTAAGACCACCCAGGATGAAGCCGGTACAGCCGCTTACAAGACGGTCGAGCTGGATGAATTCCTGCATGGCACCGCGACGCAGCATCGCGAGATTGAACAGGAGCCATCCGAGGAATTCTTGGGACTGTTCCGGCACATCTCCATCCGGTCGGGCGGCGTGCGGTCTGGATTCCACCACGTCGAGCCTGAAGCACCCAAGGAGATTCTCACCTTGCTTCGCGTATTCAAGCATCCTTCTGTAGGTCGCTCGATTATCGTGCACGAGGTGGAGCCCACCTGGGAAAGCCTCGACGAGAATGATGTGTTCGTGCTGGACAAGGGTGATAAGATCTGGGTCTGGCAGGGCAAGAACTGCAGCCCCATGGAGAAGGCCAAAGCTGCGCAGGTGGTCAATGACATGACTCTTGCTAAGCACATTGATGTCGAGGTTCTGTCGCAGCTCGAGTCGCGCTCCAGGGTCATTGTGGACTTGCTGGGAGGCAAGGAGGCCGACCCATCCACATTCCAGGCTCCGCGACCGGGGCGTTTCGCCAAACGCACGGACGACGGCGGCGATGTGCGGTCACGCAAGCTCTTTAGACTGAGCGACTCGTCCGGCACACTCACTTTCGACCTGGTCAAAGATGGCCAGCGTGTGAGCAAGTCCGACTTGGTTGGAAACGACATCTTTCTCTACGATGTTGGCAGTCGGCTGTGGGTCTGGCAAGGCTCCGAGGCCAGCCAGCGTGAGAAAGCGCTGTGGCTCAAGGTTACCCAACACTACGTCCGTCAGCTGCAGAACCAGCTCCCAGAGGCACACTACATCCCGATCGCCAAGGTCGTGGAAGGCTACGAGAGCCCAGCATTCATGAGAGCCATCGAGGCCTAGGTATGTGCTTAGGCCAAATTTGTGTAATTTATATGTGTGTGCAACAAGCATCGATGACCCCAGACACAGTTACTGGAGCGGCAGGTTCCATACAGTCACAGTCCATTGTCTAGGGTAGTATATACCATCAAAGGTCCAGTACCTTGGATCCATCGAAAATGATTCATTGAACATCAGTCAGAGATATGTAAAGACCATGTTATGTGTATCGTGTTCTAATCGAAGCGGACTGTCGGTTGACTCGAGGATGACTAGATGGCAGTGAATTGAACCCTCCATCGTTATCTTTCGCACGAAGCATGTCTAAACAGCTTCGACACGTCCATAACGTTCAAAACCCAAACAGCTAACTCCAAACTCCAATGTGCGCCCGCCAGAGAGCCCCGTTCATATATCCTTGTATCTCTTAGCACCATCCCAGCCCTACATTCAGATATTAGCACATGCAATCAACAGATTACCTGCCGACATACCTTATCTTCAAATCTACCATCTCCCTCTTCCTCCCCCACCAAATCCCCCTCTTCCACCAGGCGGTCCAAAGCCACCCCCTCTGCGACCACCAAAGCCACCGCCAGGAGGACCGTGGGGTCGTCCGTAGGAATGCATCGGCATGCCCCCGCCACCACCGTAGTGCGGGCGCGGGGGAGGGTAGCCGTAGCCACCGCCCATGCCCATACTGGGGTATCTCCGCCGGTTGCGGCCCATGAGGGACATGCAGAGGCCCATTGTAGTATTCTTGTAGATTTATTCGTACGATGCAAGGATAGTAATAATATTTAGAATAATGGTTTAGAGTGATTGAAAAGGTATTGTATCTGTCAGACTATGTCTGGTGAAGTGAAGAGGCCCAGGTGTCGAAGTGAGTAGGGCAAGGGATATATACAGACGTCGTCAGTCATGGCGTCATCCAAGAGCCGTGACGTAGTACTGCCCCTTCTCCCACTACAACCTTAACTTTGCAACCGCAAGGAACTAAGATAAATTTGTCTTTTATCTTCTGCGAGTAGATCTCTTGGCTGTCGTAATTTATCCGGTTCGCTATTGAGATGGGGGGAATTGAACAATCTGGCGGATATGAGAGGAGCGGCCAAGGAATCTTGGATGTTCTAATAAAATATTGACATGGGTCTGGTGGAGTCTCTCTGAGCCAGTGGTAGATACCCTGCTGTCAAATCAGGTACCCTATCTATCGCATTTCTAACCAATAAGGGTTTCCAATCCATTGTCAATCATCACGTCAATCCAATGCACAATCGGAGATTGGCCGTCCAATGGACTACTCAACAATATCCGATCTGCCCGAGCCCAAGTTTCTCTTACAATCCTACATGCCCGCCGCACTGTATCTAAGCCCATATAGGACGCCAACTTGTCGAGTCTAGAATCGACGAATAGCCGCCAGAATTGTATATCAAATTGCCCACGTGTCTGAGTAGACACCGGCACACCTTCAGCCAATACTTCCATGTCAACATGCATATCTTCAGTCCGCTGAAACTGAAGCGTACTTCCCGCTATCACAAGAACCGGCATATGAATAGCCCTCGTTCCAGATGTTTCAGGTATCTTGGCAATCAGCGTGAGAATCGTGATGGCCAGAGTATTCAGATGTTGTTTTAGACTGTCGTGATCCAACTCCCGTTGGTCGCGGCGCAGCAACTCGGGAAATGTTCGACACAGCTCGAGCATAATCGATAGTTCATAGGCTCTAGCTAGGAATCGGAAATGGAGGATTGGAGTAGATGGATCACCTGTACTTTGGAACTGATCCTGACGGGGAAATTTGTATTGGCATATTAACTCTTCTAGATGCTTGCCTTGCGATAGAAGTTCGTGTCGGTCTTTTTGTGTCCGTTGCGGGGAAGCTGTTGCCCGCCGTAGATGGTGCGCCTGTCGGGCGAGAGAGCCGACCCTTGACAGATAGATGAAGAGTTTGGGAGACAAACCGCTCCAGGGATGCATAATTGACATGTTGCTTTCGTCGTCGCCGAAGGGTAGGAGGTAGTCTGTCGTGTCTGTGCTGTTGTCTACGGCAAAAGACATCAAGGCTTCCCAGTAAGCTAAAGCTCCTACGAAGAATTGTCGAGCACGCGGGTCATCTGGTCCCAGTAAACAGGAGTCTGGAGAAGGCTCAGCGTGGCGTTCGCAATATAACGACTTGAAAATAGCCCTTGCCGCTTCGAGGTGCTGCGTTCCAAGTGAGGATAAATCATTCCATGACTGGGTAGGGGTTAGAATTAGTGAAGGTTATATCAGCAGCAGAGATGTACACACTGATGTTTTTCCGATCATAGTAATCCCAAGAAGTAAGACAGTCGTAGATCCGGTGTTCCTTTGGGAGAGTAAAGCCTTATCGGGTGAGACTGACGGTGACTGTTTGTCCAGAGCGTCGAATTCAGCAGCAAGTTTTGCAAGCGCTGCTGTGTGGTGGCTTGCAGCCAGTTTACTCATCTCACGCTGTTGCTGCGAGAGATGTGCAGCCGATATGGATAGAACGCAGGTATCGATCACGGGGTGCTCACTGGATAGCCATGCGACCCATTCTCGCAGTGGATTCGTTGGAGAATCATAAGCGGAAAGGATACGGCATGTGTCGGGAATGCTCGCAACTTCGTAGACAAATCAGTTAGTCGTGATACTATCCCAGCGTCATGTTGTTTCCCCGGGCTGCTTTCGGCCTCGGAGGTCTGCAATGTAAGTGCTGGACCGCTGCCTGTGGTCGAATGGTCGGGCGCTTCTGTGCTTTCAACAAATGGATTTGATGTCTCGCATTGCTCAATGGTCTCAGTAGATGACTGGCTACGCTCAAGAGGAGGTTGCAGATCGCTCAGCAAAGCAAGACGTAACTTCTCCGCTGGTCCAGTGAACCAACTCATAAGAGATCCATTTTGGGATGAGGACACTGGCTGTTCCAATTTTTGCGAAGCCAGACCTTTGGCCTCATGCTTAATCGACCATTTGACATCCTTGCGATACCCCGGGCAGTCATATCCTCTCCGAGAACAAGCCACACAAGAAGGTCTAGTTTCGTCACATTTGATTCGCTGCGATGATTAGTGTTCTGACGTTGGCATAGGAATCGCCGACTAGCTTATACGCTGCTTACACCGTGCGCACCCCGCTTTAATCTATGTTAGTGGCTTGTATATTTAGGGTGTTAACAGGACTAGATTACCTCGAGATTTGACTGTTCTTCTTGATTGAGCCAGTTATTGGCGTTTCATATTGCCCCATTACAGCCATGAGGGCCTCACGCAACCAGAAGGATGAAGAGGCGCGTCAATATCCGTTGCAGGATGCTTGCAGCTAGCCACTCATGAGCTCAGGTGCTTAATAATTGCAATGGTACTGACAAAATGCTAAGGATAAGGTTCAGTGGCAATGGACTTGGTACGTTGTATTTCTGGCTTAGGTAAATGCTTATGAATAGACTTTGTCTTTGTGCATGTGCCTTATTTGCTTATTGGCAGTCATAATCCACTATGGCAGTTAAGTTGTGTCATTCTGCCCCCTTCTCGGCCAATCGCACTTTCACGCCTAAAGTGGCTTAGCGTTAGACGATCCGGAACAGAAGGCACTCGACCCTCGGAACTATACATGTCATTTCACTGCCGATTTGTAAACCGGGATCAATTCCGGGATGATGGAGATGGCGTGATATCCATATCCAGGTACCTATGGCTAAGCACATTTAGGAAACACTTTCCAGAAAGCATCACTTACGTGATAACCAATCCTAATGAGCAAGATGATGTACATAAGTACTGGATGAAGACCGTCACATTCTTATTATATCTGCAGAACAGTACAGGAATTGGAAAACTTCCAGCAAGATACTTCGATACTACCAACTATATAAAGCACTACAAAGCCCGATAATTATTCCAGCAAGATGGCCTCCCCGCTAAAGAACGTGGTAATCGTTGGAGTAAGTGATCCAGCTCAATCCCTCCTTATCCTTCAACATTAACATACGATCTCTCTCAGGCTGGAGGTAACCTAGGCTCCCACGTCCTAGAAGCCTTCCTCTCATCCAAAGCCTTCAACATCACCACACTCACCAGAGAGTCATCTACTAGCACTTTCCCCGACGGCCTCCAAGTCATCAAGTCAGACTACAGCCACGACTCGCTCGTCTCCGCGTTCAAGGGCCAAGATGCCGTGATCAGCATCGTAGGCAATGCAGGTCTTTCATTCCAGCAGAAACTCATCGACGCTGCCGTCGATGCAGGAGTGAAACGGTTTATCCCCAGTGAATACGGCAACAACACCGCCGACGACCGCGTCCGGGCTCTCGCACCGCTTCTCGACGGCAAGAAAGCCAATGTCGATTACCTCAAGGAGAGACAGGATCGGCTAACTTGGACTGCGCTCATTACTGGTCCCTTTTTCGATGCGGTAAGTAGATCTACAGCACACCCTTATACTACCTATCATTTGCTACGTCCCATTCATGAAGAAAAGCTAAGATAATTCCACGACAGGGTGTCAAAAACGGCTTCCTAGGCTTCAACCTCCAATCCCACGAAGCAACCATCTACGACGAGGGCACCAACACAGCATCAGTGAGCACCCTCGCTCAAATCGGCCGTGCTCTCGTTGCCGTTTTGCGGAACCCGGAGGTGACCCAGAACCAATACGTCTACGTCGAGTCATTCACCACCACTCAGAAGCAGATTCTCGGTGCTCTGGAAAAAGCCACCGGCAAGGACTGGAAGGTCACTGATGTTGCCTTGAAGCCGGTTATCGAAGAAAGTACCGAGCGGCTCAAGGGTGGGGACTTGACTGCCGTGAGAGTTTTACTCTTGGCGGCTGGGTGGGCGAGGTTCCCGGATGGCCCGTATGGAGATTGGTCACGGGTGCCCGGGGGATCGTGGAATGAGAGGTTGGGGCTTGAAAAGGAGAATTTCGATGAGGTTGTGGGGTCGCTTGTCAATTAGGATGTTATGGATGATATTCCTTGTTGTACTGTAGCAGCACCAAGTACTTGGAACGAGCAATAAATCTTTGATTAAATAAATAGAGTTATTAAGTATGGTATCTAAACTCCACCTCGCCATCGCCAGTCTTCACTCTTCGCGTGTCTTCTTTCTCACCCGCCAGTATGTCCTCTTTCGTCTTATTCTCGTGTCTCAGGTACATTGCATGAAGCCCGACAATGATCTGCGATACCACCAATGCCCCCAACGAGAACGCATTTCCCAATATATATGGCGATGTGCGGTATACCTGCCCCGCTACGATACCAGCACAGTTACCCACTGTCTGCTGCAGACCGATGGCAAGTGCACGCCGGTACTGCGGCGCCACGTTGACGTTCAGCCAGGCGACGTTCAGACCGACACCTGTGTAGACAGCCACACCGCAGAGGTAGGTTGCAAAGTATTTCACGGGGTCGCTGGAGACGGTCAGGAGGAGAATGTAGCCGACTATGCCGAAGATGTTTGTGACTAGGATGAACTGTTTTTCATGTTAGCACCACCTCATCCCTAGTAAAAGGACCGCTAGTGGGGAAAAGACATACAATAGAAAACCGCCCAAAGCGATCCGCACAAAACGCAACAGCGATAAACACAATCGCAGCCCAAATATACACCGGTACCGTGAGGACATTACTCATAAGACTATTATACCCCAGACTCCCCAAGATAGTCGGTAGGAAGGTACTAAACCCATAGAGAAGAATATCCTGACAGAACTGCGTGAGAGCCGAGAACATGAGCTTGGGATCACGCAGAGCAATGCGCATCTCCTCCCAGCTGAAGTGCTCACTGCCCATGTACTTGCGGCGTTGTTCGTTGCGCACGCGCATCATGTACTTCTCTTCGTCGGTGAGGAAGTAGGCGTTGCTGGGGTCGTTGGGGAGACCGAACCAGATTAGGACGGCGCAGATCAGACTGAAGATTCCTTCGATGATGTAGACCCATCTTGATTCTCTCATTAGCATTGGGAGTGAGATGGCTGGGGACGTTGAGGAAGGGGGGATAGGTTTACCTCCAGCCGGCTTTGCCGCCTATACCGTCCATGTGCAGCAAAGCATAGGCGAGGAGACCGCCCACGGCACCGGAGATGGCGGCACAGCTCATTAGGTATGAGACGCGCTTTGCCTGTTCTTCTCGACGGTACACCATGGTCAAGTACAGGTTCAGACAGGGGAAGAGACCGGCTTCGCAGCCTCCGAGGATCAATCGTGTTGCGTAAAGCGAGGCGACATTGTGGATGAAGCCCGTGAACACAGTCGTGATAGACCAGATGATGCATAGACCGGTCAGGATATTCCGTGGCGTGAGCTTCTTCATTGCTACCGCCCATGGGGCTTCCAAGAGCACGTAGGTGGCATAGAAGATAGACACGGCGGTGGAGTACTCGCTGTCAGAGGCGTGGATGTCTTCAGGCATGCCAGCTACCTTAACATTACCTGAATAATCATTAGCCAGCTGCGCCAACGTGGGGAATATGCATTGGGGGGATACTCACCGATATTACTGCGGTCAAGGAAACACGACAGGTAGGTCAACATGATGATGGGCACAAAAGCCATATCGAGCTTCATGAGAAGCTTCTTCTCCTTCGCTGGGTCGAGCACGACATCGTCAATATCGCCAATGGCGGTCTCTTCAGGAGACGCCTGCTCGAATGGTTTCTCGAGCGACTTGCGCTCAACAACGGGATCCATCTGATCAGTAGTCATGATGGATGAAGTGAGTTGTGAAACCCAGAAGAAAGTGGGGGAAGAGGGAAGATGATGAAAGCCTCAATAGCGGAAGATCTGGGGTTAAGAACCATGGACCAGGCCCTTCAGGGTAGCACCTGAAGGCGGCAACGGATCGATAACACGGCCAGTAAACCGGGAAGCTATCTATCGTGAGGGGCGAGTAGCATTACGCTCCACAGGGTCACCCATCGGGCCGATGGACTGATAAGCAAAGTTAAGATTGCCCGGGAGGATATCACCTGGCAGCTGCTCATTGGTGAAATCGCGGACTAAAGCGACCAACGCTTATCACGCTGGTGGAGCCTAAACACGTTTATCCCCGGATATCGGAGCCCACCTGCCGATAGAGACACGAAGAGTATGGGGTAGATACAAAACAATTGATAGGCTATCAGGTCTATCGGTCGAGAGGTTATTGATTATATATGCTAACTCAATGTCAAAATTACTGCACGGTAGGTACATATGACAAGAATTCATACAGCAACCCAAATGACCATCACCACCCAGACACCGGAAACCCTAAGCAGCCAGGACACGCGGTTTCTGGCCCGCCAAAACACCATCACCAACACAGCCGGCTACTCCGGGGACAACCTGCAAGCCAACCTTCTCATTCTGCCTGAGGAATACAGCCAGGACTTCCATAATCTCTGCCTCCGCAACCCCGTAGCCTGCCCACTGTTAGGAATCAGCAGCATCCCGGGAAACCCCCACAAAATCTCCCCAACGCCATGCATCCGTAACAGCGACTTTGACATCCGCACCGACTGTCCTGCATACCGAGTATACAAGAAAGGGAAATGCATCGCGGCCAACAAACGCGACCTGCTGGACCTATGGTCCACGAATGATGATGAAGAACAACAAAGTTCAGAAAACTACACAGCCTTCCTCCTAGGCTGCTCCTACAGCTTCGAAGCCGCTCTCTGCAATGCCACCCCGCCTCTAACCCCACGACACCAAGTAACCAACACCCTCGTGCCAATGTATCGCACCTCGCTACCTCTCTCGCCTGCAGGGATCTTCACCAACGCAACATGCACCGTGTCTATGCGCCCATACCACGAATCAGAGGTCGAGCGGGTGCGGAACATCACGCGCCCGTATCTGGCCACGCACGGGGAGCCGATTGCTTGGGGCTGGGATGCGGTGAAGCGCTTGGGCATTCGGGATATTCACGATCCGGATTTTGGGGATAAGGTTGAGTTTGGGGAGGGGGAGGTGCCTGTCTTTTGGGTATGCAAGATATACTTTCTTATCCTTCGTTTTATTTACCCCCTTGCGTTTTGATGAAGTGTATGTGGCGTATGCTAATGCGGGATCATGGTTAGGCGTGTGGAGTGACGCCACAGATGGCGGTCGAGGCGGCCGGGGAGAAGATTGATGGGTTGGTATTTGCGCATGAGCCAGGGCATATGCTGGTTACGGATTGGGTGGTGGAGGATTTGGAGAGGTTGAAGGGGGGGATCGCGGCTTTCCGAGCAAAGATTTGATGGTACTCTACATACACGATAGAAAGAGCTGTTATGAAGCGGGCAGCGTCTTGGATACTAGAACAATGATACACATTTAAAGATGGATCAAAAACAATCCTTCATCACACTGGACAACTCCTCCCCATAGTCATATCGCTGCCACCCGGCATCAAATCCCTCGGGCGCCATGCCCATAATCTGCGTCTCCAGATTCCCCACCGCTTCGAACCACTCCATTAGCTCGCGCGTCATCTGTGCCCCGTCCAGCGGTGACTGCTCCTGCGTGCCTGTTGACTGGCTCGGTGCGACCTCCACCACGTTGCCAAGGTCCCCTCTCTCCGCTGGCACTGCAGCGCCTCCTCTCCACTCGGGCTCCTGTTGACTCTGCACCGGCCGATGCATTAACTGCGGACCTAGCTTCCTCAAGCTTCGAATGGACTTCCACAGCCGCTGCGAAATATACGACCTCGTCGAAAAGCCCTTGATCAGCTCTAGGGCCATGTAGAACTCTTCCTTGCAAGTGGTGCTAAATTGAGTAGGGGCCTGCGTGACAGCCAGAAAGACCACCGCGACAGCAGAGACCAGAAACCAATTAAAGGTCACCTGCTGCAAGCGATAGATATCCGTCGTCTCGTTCAGATTCGTGATGAATCGGATCGACTCCTTCGCTAACTCTACCACGGTCTGCGACTCTGCAGGGTACTTGGCGATATGTGCCGCCGAGTGCAGCACAGGACGATGGATCAGCATGCGCAATTGATTCGCCCTCAAATACAGCAGAGACCGCAAGCGACGCAAGCTCCGTGGCTCCTCCTCCTGGACGTTACCCGAGTCAATGCTCAACACGGGCGGAACGTCTGCCTTCCACCGCTGGACTTGCCAATCGAGGTAATTCATCTCTTCTTTCTTGATCTCATTGGTGTTGTTGAATGCTGAAATAAACTTCCACACTTTCGCTGCAATCCGACTATACCGAATCATGACACGCAGGTAGGGCGTCTTTTCCTCCGGCTCAGGTAGCCACGGGTCAATGTCGCTGTCCTCAAGGGAGAAGGGCATGCCCGTGCCAAAACTCCAGCGGATGTCGAGAATGTAAATCGACCAGAAGAGTCGGAGGACGCGGTCTTTGCCTGCTTTGGCTATGGATGGCTGTCTGAGGGTTTCGCGGCGGTGAAGGCCTCGTTCGAGACACATGCGCTCGACGATGCCGATGGTACGCCAGGCGAGGGTTTCTTCGTCGATTTGAAAGTAGAAGATGGCCTACAACTAATAAGACATATTTCTGAATATAGGGCATGGGTTTACTCACCACCAACGTCAAGAAGATGATGTTCTTGGTCCCCGCTACTCCCCAGACAAAGTTATCCGCCACTTCTCGGACACTCTCGAACAAGCTCAGCGCCAGGGCACTGCTTCCCGCTGCCTCGGCTGTAAGCGCACAAGCAAACACCAGGCGCAGAATATGCACAGCGGTTCTATCCAGCTGCTCTTCGTTTCGCTGAGCAACGGGTACCCGGGGCCACGACTCCGCCCCATACAACAACTCGACCTGGTGCAGGAGCTGCGGTAGCTCTAGCACAGGGTACATAATTCCCATTTCTTCCTCGTACACGCGACACAGCCGCAACGCTTCACTCTTCCCGATGGTCCACAGTGGATCACCGGACGGATAATGGCGCGTGCGTGGCGGCGACGCAGCGACAGCCATGGGGATCACCTGAGAAGGGGCGGTATCGCCCTCGTCGCCGTCAACATCGCCGTCTTCAGCATCCGCGACATCGGGATGTTCTTCGACGATTCCGCGACGCTGAAGGCTGGATTTCGCTAGGTCCAGACTGTACGCGGAGGTGGTTGGGCCTTGAAAGACAGATTCTTTCTCTTTGATGGAGGAGTGCCGCCGGAAGGGTCGCTGAGCTGCTACGTCCGACCGCGGCAGTGCTGTTGCTGTTGAGACGAAGGTATTCTGCGTCAAGGCGTGGACGGCTGTGGTGAGAGAGGTGATTTGCTCTTGCATGGCTGTCATTTGAGTCAGGAGACGGTCGAGTGTTTCACTGGTTCATATTAATTGTGTTTCTTGTTTCTACATCTCTAGAGAGGATTATCGTACTGGTTCTCTGCGCTGCTCTCTGGTCGCGGCGGCGCCTCGTACACACAGTCGATGCGCTGGCGACCGCATCGCTGACAGGGCGACTGCCCATTACATTTGATTTTGCGTCGCTTGCATTCATTACTAGAGAGTCGATTAGATGCGATCGATGAATGCTTCCGAGTAGTAGCTGAGGGGGAGCAGCAATACCAAGCTTTGGCGATGTATTTGCGACGGCGTTTGCGCGGTCGGGCCTCGTCCCGATCGCCAAGATCGTCGACTGGGGGTCGCTCCCACGACTCGAGGGGATGGCTGTCCATGTTGTGGGAGTGCCTGGTGGGTAAGTATCCAGAGGACAACGACGAGATGTCTTAGAAGGGAAGCAAGAATGCAGAGTGGAAAAGATGGAAGAACGATACCGAGAGGCAGCGAATCCAGCGATGCATCATTGGATGGGCGGCGGTGAAGGAGCGCCGATCGGCCACCACGGCGGGGTTCCGCAGTCTAGTTCGCAGCCATTGCTTTAGTACGAGAATCTCTCGGGCTGTTATTCGTCAATGGAGATGATGGCTGACAGGCTACAGTGGGACGAGATGCAGTTCCTCGGCTGAAGATGGGTTCAATGGGTTGCTTTGCTCGCTACGTGTCCTTCGTACAGAGTTGCACCGTGTCACCCCTTGCAGGTGGGATTCGAATGCCACGGAGAAAGTTTGTAGATAAATAGATAATGAGAGAGAGAAAGATAGGCAACAGGTCAAGGCAGCATTCTACTATGTATGTACATCCAGAATCGTAAAATTCGTCAACTAGGAACCCTTTACAAATCCTTAGTCCGCTCATCACTTTCCACAACCCACTGTTGCAGCTTCACCGGATCTCTCGGCGTAAAGCCCACCTTGAATGGCTTGGGCTCCGTTGTCAATCCCGTGGGGATTTCATTGCACTCCAGCGCATCCAGGATAGGCCGATCGGCCACATCCCGTGAAGGGTGCATGGTGAACGCGGTGATCAACCGAATGTAAGCCGTGTAGAGCTCGCGGTTAGCCAGATGAGAGCCGGCACACATGCGCGAACCAGCGCCGTAGCCATAGTGCGGCGTGCCCGAGCCCTCACCGATATCCAGATAACGCTCGGGAATGAACTTTTCCGGCATCTTGAAGTGGTCCTCGTCGTAGTCGGCGGCCCAGGCGTTCTGACCTAGTTAGCAATCGCGTAGTGATGGGGCAATGTAGTGGCCAGACTCACCATGAAGAAGGTCGTGCCGGCAGGGATAGTCGCGCCGTTGTACTCGATATCCTTGGTGCTCTCGCGGGGCAGGCAGATGGGAATGACCGTCCAGAAGCGGAGAGTCTCGCGGACCAGCGCGCTCACGTAGGGCACCTTCTCCTCCACCAGACACTTCTCCCAGGCCTCTCCGTTGGGGTAGACCTTCATGATTTCATCATAGGCCTTTTGCTGGATCCGCTGGCCATCCTCGGATGCCAGATAAGCGATGCCCATGACTAGGTTTCCGGGGACAGTGTCCAGTCCGGCAGACACCATGGTGACGCAGATGGATTTGATCTCGGCTGGTAGGTGTTAACAGATACTCCAGTTGGGGGAAACAGCGGGACTATTCACCTTCATTCAGTTTGGCCTCAGGGTCCTTCAGAATGTTACCCGTGATGCATGGCTTGTCGGTGCCCTTGGCAATACGGTCCTTGAGAATCTCCAGCAGATAGCTCAGATACTTGTCGCGCCGCCCGCGGAACTCCTGTGCCTCACGGTTCTGCTTGGGGAAGATACGAAGCAGAGGGATGTAGTCCTGCCAGTTGTTGCTGGTACTGCGGAAGTTGGCGACACCACGCTCGACATTAACGATCTCGTGCAGCAGCTCATCGTTCACATTGCCCTCGATACGGAAACCGTAGTTGAGAGTAAGACTGGTGTTGAGGGCGAAGCGCTGGAAGTAGGCCTTGGGGTTGATATCGCGGGCGCCGTTCTGGCTGTCCTTGAACAATTCCTTGATACTGGCGGTGCATTCAAGGTCGATAATGGGCATGTAGGATTGCACGGCGGGACGGTTCAGCGCGGTCGCGGCGGCCTTGCGACGACGCTTGCAGGACTCATCCCAGGGCGAGGTACCGATAGTGAAGCCTTGCGAAGAGGATACGACGCTGTGGAAGGTGTGGAAGGTGGGACGGGAGATCAGAGCAGACTGGTCTTTGATCCAGAGCTGGCGAACAGAGTCGAAGCTGTTGGCGAAGACGACGCGCTGGAAAGAAGCAAAGAAAGGGCGGGTCAGGAACAGGAACCGTTTAAATCAATCAAATCTCCGGTCGCATATTTCACTTACCTTGTTACCCATGCGGACTTGGAACACAGGGCCAAATGACTTGGCCCATTTCCGGGCGACGATGGCATGCTGAGTGCCCAACTGGAGGAGATTGCCAAAGAGGGGCACACCGGGGATTTCGGGGATGCCCTTAATCTTGGGCACATCGGTGCGGTTCATGTAGCGCACCAGGAAGTAGACCACCGCCGCAGCGGCGATAAGAATCGTCTGGATAGCCATGATTGTGGTGTAGACGATGTGATATGGATTCTTCAGTTTCAGGGAAGAATGCGAGCGATGCGAACCCTTTATAAGTATGCTGACCGCAGTGCAGCTGTCCTCGGCTGGTGATGGTGGATACGATATCATCTGGAGACAGCCACCCGCCGTCATTCCTACGGCTCCATTTCCGACCGAGCAACATGTCCAAGCTTTGGCTGGTCCAGCCTGGTAGTCTGGGCGCACTTTACCTTTGACTTTCCCCGCACTATCGCTCCAATCTTTGGCAATCGGCGGCCCGACATTGGCTTTCCACTCATGCCCCAGTGCGGCATTTCGGAATGTCCTTCCGCACTGCGGTTGGCTGCGGAACCCTCCCCCCGGTTGTGTTGGCTCCTGCAGCCGAGAGATGATGATCTTTGCTGGCTTGGAATGGTAGGATGAAGATAGGTTGCAGAGTCCAGTATTAACATCGAGCGCAGTCTATTGTTACGTAAGTGCGTCGGTATCATCTCTGCAGCCATGTGGGCATTATATATATATCGTTGTGCCCAGTACCTCTGAGGATCTATTCCCCTACAATATATTTCCGCACTTTAGTAGATACTTCACAATAGCTTAACCCGGTCATTTTAGTACTCAAGGATACCAGTAGTAGTACTACTTAGTAGTACCATCGAGATTCGAAGCATGGGTGCCTTGATATACCTCAGCTGTAAGGAATGTTTTCAATCTGAATTGCCATGTTCTACTCAGGGTCTGCTTAGTGAGCTATCTATATCCTGAGGTCTACCCTATCTGTTCTCACATAAGCAGTCCCACCAAAACCTAACCCGGAAGGCATGAGCAACAGAAAGAGGAGTCGAAACGAAAGGATAAAAACAATTCAAGAATTCTGTTCATAATTCTCCCTGTACACCTGCATCATCCACCGCCCTGAAACGTCCATGTCCTTTCCACCCTACCCGACATTCAAGGCCGACGTGGCCGCCGAGGTGCGCCAGGATGATAGTAAGGGTTTGGTGCAAAATAAGCGCCTCCAGCATTCTGTTCGATGATATCTCCGTACGCCTTAATATCATCTTCAGAGAACGCCCAGCAGTTTCCGTTCTGCATGGTGTGAGAGGGGAGGGCCTACATCAATTAGCTCAATCACACTGACACAAGATGAAGTGGGACCTACCTGATCCCACTTGTCATGGTACACATGATAATCGCGAGACCATGTCGAAATGTATCCCAGATAATCGAGACGCATGTAGTGTCTCTCTCCGTAGCCATCCGCACTTCCCCCATCGCCATTGAACCAGTACAGACGCTCGTGGTTGATGAGAATCGCCCACTTGCCCATGATTCTATTGCCGTAACCTGTGTACCATTGCATGGTGATGAGAATATAATAAGACACTAAGGGTATATTCCTGCAACGATTGTTCAATTTATTGTCATAAAAGAAAAGGAATTGCTGTGTGCGGTACTTCATTGAGAGACCGGGTGAAGATTCCCGTATTTATAGACATCTTCCAGCATCAAATCTATGTACGATCGCAGATTTCCACAGGTTTACGAATCATGTAGATTGATGGCGAAGAAGTTGAAGGGGTATCTACTTCATGTCCAAGGGGCAATGTGATGTTCAGTGTGATTGGCCCATACCATCTACGCATGGGCCGCCTGTTCACAAAGACGGCATCTTTTAGCTCACCACTACCCTACCAGTATGCTAAAAGAAGTCATGATCACCCTGATGTTACATCTCTCAGCTTTTAATCACACCTTCAGTGTGATAGAAATGGTCAGTATAAATACTGCAATAACGAATCAGATAGGCGATAATGCCATCTCTCAGCTCCTGCTCTACTCACAAGTTGCGGAAATGGCGGTGATCACTACCACAAGAGGAATGCTCATCTCTCAGCTCCCTGTTGTAGAGTGTGCACAAAGCCAGCAATTCTACATTCCAACTGGATATCCAAGTATAGCTGAGAAAGTCTGGTGCGCATGACCCATGTCCACAGATAACCATGATATCATATATCAGATGGCAGATGACAACATGTCACCTGATGTCCTTTGCCAACAGGAGTACTCTTTTGCTCTGCACAGGAGCAAGATATATAAACCCACTACTGTCGTGTTCAGACTTGGTTCAGACTTGGAGGTCTCGCACTTTAAGAACGCCATCGATACGCAAATGACCATATGTTGAATTAGTACCTTCCCCGAGTATCCCTTGAGAAGCTGTCTAACCACTGAAGTTGGCACAGCTCTTCCGCTGACCTAGGATACGGACAACCTGCTGAATTGGATGACCAATCCTTATCCTTTCGTACATACATCCAGGTTAGTCTACTCATCCTTCCCTTATCATGCCATATCATACCATACGTGATCCATTTACATCTCTACTGCTCTTGAAAGTAGAAAGTTCTTATGACTTAAGTATACTGTGGCAAGAGGTTTGGATAAGCACCAAGCCCACCAACACCGGCAGGAAATACAGCTCATAGATCGACAAGACTTTGCAGATAAGTAAACCTTGTTTTATTCCACATACATTGAAGTACACGTGTCCCGACGTCCTGGGAGAACAGCACATCGAGCACAAAAACAAAAACAAAAAGCAAAGCGGGTATCTATGCATACATGCGGATCTTAAACGTCAATCATGGCGTCATTCGGACCAGCCATAAAGGGAATTTCCGACAAATTGCTCCCTCATCTAATTTTACCGCAAACCAGGCGCTTAGGCCATGGATGTCTTGCGCGAGATGGTGACTTGACTGGACCGACGGACGGCTGCGTGCCGCTGCCGATCCGCTTCTAAAGTCTGGGCGAACTTGCTTCGGGCCCGGATCTCAGGTCCCTTCCAATAGAAAATGTAAATGGGGACTGTCACCAGGACAGACAAGCAGCCAAGAATGGTGCTCGCCCATTGTAGATGGAATCGGCCACCGATATTGGTGTACATGGGTGTTGCGTACATGGCTGAGAGTCCAGCGAGTAGATCTCGCGCAAACCCATTGCCTCCCGTCGCAGACGCAGAGTATTCTCCATACGCGGCAACCATGTAGTCGATAGTAGCCATGTAGATGCCGTAATTAGCAACAGCGATCAGGAACACAAACACCAACGGTACGATCCAGTGGGTGTACTCGGGGCCCATTGAGGTCCAGGCGAATCCAAACAGTCCAATCGTTTCAAGAGGCGCAATGAAGAGCAAGAGTAGAAGGCGTCGCTCAGCGTATCGAGAGGCATTTCCCTCCCGGCGTCGCACCAGGCGTTGACGGTAGATATCGGGTAGGAAGATACCGTAGGCAAACAAGTAGCCGATCACAATGGCAACGAAGCACAGACCGATTTGGACGGCATTGAACCCCCATTGTGCGAAGACCAAAGAGAACGACTCAATGCAGGTGAAGATGAGCGCATCGGAGAAACCGGAGAGCAAAGATAGAAAGAGCACAATAGGTTCACAGAGGAACATTTCGAAGGGTCGGCGCCAAACGTGTAGGACCTCCTTGATGTTGAGGCGGGAGGGCTTCAGCTCGTTCGGTCCATACACGTTAGGATCCTCGCCGGTTTGTCGTCGGCGTTTGGCCTCTCGGTCAAGAAGAATCGTCGATCGAGTCTCACAGACAAGGAAAAAGTGCAGGAGCTGAGTAGCACCGCCAAAGATAAGCTGGATCCAGAAGTTCCACCGCCAGCTCAACCACTGCTGCATCATTCCGCCAAATATAGGTCCAATGGTGGTGCCTCCCACGGAGGACAAGACCACATAAGCGACAGCAAAGCCCTGATCATCGGGCTCCCACATGTCAGCCGTCATCCCGAGAGTCACAGAGCCGCCTGCAGAGCTAATACCGCCAAGGCCACGACAGACAACCATCGTTGCGAAGTTAGGAGCAAGAGCACACGGTATCTGCCAGATATTCACGAACAGTAGACTGAGCTGCATTATCGGCCACCGGCCGTACTCCTCACTCCATGGGGCCCACAGTTCACAGCCAAAAGCATATGTGACTAGAAAGATCATTTGGCCTACTCGGGCGGCCTGTTCACTGATATTAAAATGTTCGGAGAGTTGCGGGACGGCGTTGGAGTAAGTGCTGCTGTTGAAATTCATTGACATTTGCACGACGAAGATGACCGTAAGGATTGTCCATTTTTTGTACCATGGGAAACAGAAGCCCAGCTTCTCGTAGCAGTCGTCTTCGGTAAGTTCTCGTTTCACGGGGCCGTGAAACTTCCCTTGAATTTCACTATCATCATCTGGCTGGGTGGCATGCTCGGCATGCATATTCCCAGGTTGGCGCGTGGGACTGAAAGCACCCTCCTTTCCTGAAGGCTTCTCTAATAGCTCTTTTGTGTCCATGATGAGAAAATTGTTTCTTAGGTGATCCAAAGAAACACTGCCGTTGTGGGATTCATGAAATATATCTCGAACAAGGAATTGGCCAAGACAGAAAGGCAAAATAAAAGGTCCGGCGAGGTTATAGTCCTGTACCAGTAGAACAGAGCGCCGGGCAAGAACGAGGAACTGGAAGGTGGGTGGGTTTGGTATGGATGGAAAAGGCCACACCAGGAACAAGGCGAGCGTCTTATATAGTAAACTCACATACTTCAGCCCTGCACACTCAACATCGGAGTTGAGGGTGGTCGACTGCACCGCTCTAGGGAAAGCAATGGTGGCACGACGTCATGAACGTCGGAGTATCCGAGGAAACGATTGTAGCGTGTAGCAGTAGGCGTAGGGAGGGTGCAGCTCCGATATCGATCGATCGCCGTGGGGCCACGGCCGGGACGATCAATGAAAATGCCTGGAACGCTCTGGATTAACTTTCATTGCTTCTCTCCGCCATTCCTGCGTTGATGAGGGCTAGCCGCACATGGCACACTCAAGTGACACAATGCACTGCGCCTTGTACCCAACGCCTGCAAAGTCCCGCCCTTGAAAAAAAAAAGCAAGAATTTGACAATTCCTATGACAAATGAGCACAAGCTACACACCATCATCGTCGGCATTACCCCGTGAGATTTCCAGTGCCCAAGCCATCGAATGCCTTTGATAGGGACGTTGGGTTGTCGTGCCAATCAGCGGCTCCAGCGCTTGTCGGGGTACCCAAAGCGGTAGTCCGGCCACCGACCGCATCCCAAACCGTAGACAAATTTTGGTCCATCCCATCTTCAACCACCAACCATGACGCCATTCCAGAGGCAAAGCCCTTGACAAATCCGGTTTGCATGGGGATATCCACGTTCTTACTGCATGTAACCCTGCAGCATGGCCATCCATGGATAGGCAAAGCGACCTATCGCCTGACATGAACGAGCTATGATTGAAGTAGATGGGCATGTTCAACGTTGAGAATGGTAATGCCTGGTGTAAGCAGAATAGCATCACTTCATGGACCGAGCAAATGGCACCACTTGCTCTAGAACATTGCCCGTTCGAAATCGTGCACCGCCACATTCCTGGGGGCTACTTCTAGACAATCTACACTCAAGACTTCTTACCGTGGACATTGTGTACGGTACTTCCTAGTCATCGCCTCCTATCCCTTGCTTCGGAGGATGGGGACCGGTAACAGCGCATTTCCGTCGTCGCGTGGCTGCCGGAATAGAGACCGAGCGAGTGTCATTGACAACCGAACAGCAAGAAGACATGTAGCCTGCGATAAAGGGTGTCGGCACCCAATCGCGTTCAAGTATGTATTCACGATGTCCTTTGACAGGTCAATGACTCTGCCTTTCTGGCACCTTCTTGGCGTTACCACTACATTCATGAGGTGATGCATCTGGTAGCACAATAACCACCATGCCGGGATTGCCAAGGTGTTGACCGAGCCGAAAACGTGTCGGGCCGGCATCGGCAGGGCTGCTGCAACAGTTTTCTTACGGAATGTAACCTAATCTTAGTGATGGCGTACAGGTCGTCCAATCACTCGCCCACGGAGATGGCAGGAAGGACGAATCGAAAAGCCAACAAAGAGTGTCAAGCGTTCAGTTTAACGGAAAATGGCATCACGGACGCCGACGGAAGTATAGCCTAGGGGGAGGCGAATGCAGAGGGAGTGAAGTATCCTAGTGTAGTTCGACCATGAAGAGGTCCATATTGTCGGCCGGACATTCTCACGATAACGAGCCAGGCATCAAAGCATTGTTGATTCGGGGTACCGGGCTGATCCCTCGTGGTTATCCGTGGAACATGTGCCATTCATGCAATTCAATTGGCCTTGCTTGCATGAGGTGAGCAAGATGTTACATTCCTAGAATGTAACCTGGCTGTGTCTGCAGGCATGCAGGGAAAGGAATGAGAAAGGAATGAAGATGGAAAGCAAATGAAAGGAAAGGATCACGCCCTTGCGCAGTCGGCAAGTGTTGCCCCCCGTACCCGGGGGCGCCGAAACATTCCCCATTCGGCGAGGACAACCCCAAATGATCCATCCATCTGCCATCTCGCTCCATATCTACCTACATTGTACATTCTGCTTGACTCTACAAATCTCGCCCCTTACTGATTCCCCACGCTGTCTTCCGATTTAGCCGCATCTTTTGGTCCATAGCCTTGACATGAAGGTGAAATCAAAATTTCGCCCTTCAAAAGTAAGATTAAAGAGAAATCTCTGGTCCCCAACGCCCCACAGACGGGAGATCGGTTAGAGTATGCCGGACCCGCAGTCTGACCTTCAGCCAGCCTTTCGAAAAGTCAAATGCCGGGTGCTAATATTCGTCTTTCAGAGGTTGATCTAGATCGCAATTCAAATCCACTTCTTTCCCCCCCTCTTATCGTGACTCGGATGCCGCTCAGTACGGACACCCCATGACACGCCCACTGCCCACTTGTCATATCGTTCCCATAATCTAGACAAGCCGAAACAACCCCTTTGTAATCTGTAGCGATGGTTGAATGGGTAAGAATCTATCACGGGATTAGAGACTGGTCTAGCCTTATGCTAAGACCGGCGCGTGATCGATTAGGGTACTCGGTCGACATTGCAGAACAGATTGACAGGGTCTAACAAGTCGTAAGGGCCAGACCGCTTGTAGACCTGCACGAGTGGGGTGAAATTTCAATGAGTATATTGATTACGCTCCCGGGAAACGGGCTTTTACTTTCCAGATCAACAAAGCCAAGACTTGTTATCTCTCCCAATCTCCACCTGCAGGGAATTAACCCAGCAGATAAGGCACAACTATAATATTTTGACCGATGCACTACCTATAGATTTCCGTGGAGAGGCGGTATGCTGCCCACGGGGTCATTGCTTTCGCATACCTCCTCCCACAAAGAGCTCTCGATGACATCATCAAAAACGAGTTGTTCGTTCAGAGGCAACTGAAACCAATCGAAAGCATTCTCCAAGGAATCTATGTAGCCGAAAATGTTCATCGATTCTAGTGCTGTGGTTGGCGTTCCTCTTTGTCCCGCGGAAACAGAACTATTACCATCTGCTCCGCGGTCACGCACGGAGGGTTTCGTGGCATTCGGCTGGATTGATGTACCCCCCTCACATTCTAAGGATGTAAGAGCCTTTATTGCGCGATTGCTGCCATAGTTCGTTGAGCTCATTTGGCCCAGGAAGCGGAGATTGAGACGGTAAAGGTGCGTTGTCCGTTGCGACAGCGTGGCATCAGCCGAGTTGGCATTCAATGAATGCACGAGAGATGAAGTTGCCAAGCTATGGACAGCGAACGAGGAAAGAGTTTCCTAATTACAGTTCAGTATTCTAGATAAGATTTTATTATGGGCCAAAATGCGTATAACGTAGACGAAAAGAGGGCAGTGGAGGTGATTCGTCAAATGTACTTACCAATGGATAGAAGTTTCTATACGCATTAACGATGGATGTTATGCGTATGGCTGAAAAGGTTGCTGATTGGATATGTACCATTTCCGGGCGCTTCAATTCATCCAAATCATGCATTGACGGGGCTGTTTTGATAAAAGGACGATGAAGCATGATTTTCAAGTTGTGATATAGCAAGCTGGATATACATTAGCTCCTCATCAACCCTCGTCGTGGTCTCCTAGGATTGTATACTTGAATTGGTAAACAGGTGGGCTCAGTTGCTTCGTAGCGGTGGCAGGGAGTCTGAGGTGACTCGGTAAGTTATTGTAGAATTCGGACATGGCGACATGAGTCTTTGTAGCTTTGTCTTCCTTTTCATGTATGCTTAGAGGAGATGCCAGTGCATGACTTGAGGCGTAGTTAGTAAATCTTTCAAACAGGCCTCTCTGAGTCTGGCCGGGGAAACCCATGAGCACTGTTCATGTCTCGCAGAGACTACTCACATTTCGTCCAGAACAGGTGATACCATGCGCACTAGGTTACACGCATATTGAAGATTTGACATACTGGAGAATGTCAACTCTGGATCAGAAGTGTGAGATACCGACCATAGGCGATACTCGACACTGGGAAGGATTGGAACTAGTCGTGGACGCATGTCACCGTCGCGTAGAGCACTCGGCTGCCCAATGATTTGGGATATGTTTCTATCACAGTATTAGCTTGGTGTTCAGGTATGGCTTTGTGAACAAATGAGACTTTTCCAGCAACCAAACACCCCACCATGCAAGTGACCGGGCTTCTAGAACTTCTTGTGAGCCTTGTATCGATTCATCCATTGCTGGTGTTTCGACGTGAAGTCCAAGAGTCAGAGAATGTCGAAAGGCAATCCCTGAAAGACGTGTGAGCCTTCAATGTGTGATTTTACCAGATGGGCTTACCGATATACTGCGAAGCAGAGGACAGATTGTCGACTGCTAATTCCCTTAGAGCGATAATAGCTGCTGCCAGGACAAGGGACAGACTGGAATATTCTATTTGCGCGAGTATTTTACTTTTTGCATGTTTAGCAAGAGCCTCGCCTGATGTTCCCCAGATGCTGAGCTGTGCATCACCTGCACACTGGGAGCTGAAGGCTAGTATTGCAGCCAATAAGGTTGGGGTGGCATAGATTTTGACTCCATCGTTGGTTAAGTCTTTGTTGAACAGAGGCTCATGGACTAGAACTGGCCAAGTATTTCTCCAGGTCCAAAAGTCGTCTAAAAGCTGGCTTTCTGCATCTGGAAAAAGTAACAACGGCTCTTCTGATACTGAATCTACATTTTCCAAGATGCCCACCCCGCTAGAGCTTTGCTGCTGTTCGTCAAGCTCCCTAGAGCAGAACAGTCCGTACGCCCCTGAAAGTCGAAAATCTCGCCTGAAGCCCGAAAGGCTATGTGATACGGGCTTTGCACTATGCGTCCTCAAGACTTCCTCGTCACTGCCCAGGTCCACAGTCAGGGACTCACCTTGTTCTGCACCATTGCGGGCTGTTGCAAGTTGATGTTCCAGGAAAGCAATCCTGGAGTGGAGTGCATGGATGTAGCACTTGGTCGGAGGCCTAGGGTCCTTTCAGCGATGAGTTCAGCCAGAGTTTGCGTACCACCAACTTTCGCTTCTCAAGATGATATGTGTATCCACATTCGCGATCTTCTCTTTCACAGACTTGACAAACGGGCTTCTGCCCATCACACTATACTCGGGGTCAGGGTCGCAACCAGCTGTCATATGTCTTCAGACTCACGCGACGTTTCTTCTTTCTACATGGGACACAAGCAATGGAGACACGCTGCCTCTTTTGTGTAGCTGGCATTTTCAGAGCAGCGAGATGATGAGGTATTGTGTCGATGAGCATGACAGGATTGATTGAAAATGGACGACCCTGAGACTGTGGGCCCTGAGCGGGGTGGTTTGTCAGCAGCAAGAATGGGGCCCGCTCAGTTAAAGTTGAAGATCCTGATCCCTTGATTATCAATGGCAGTCTGAAGAACTAATATCTAGCCTACGTTCCATTCCTAGATACGTCATCAGCTTCGTCGAGGCTGACTATAGCCAATGCGCAGAGCAAAGGAATATTAGTTGGTGGCAAAAAAGGATATGAATAGTTACTGACTTATTCCGTACCTGGGATCTACTACCATGCTATAACTGTTGCCTAAGGACTTCTTTCAGGTCGAAGACCCAGTAGGGCATTGTTTCTTCTAGACCAGTTGTATTCTTTATACCTTAACCCTGGGCTGCTCCAATTGATGAATAATTAATAAAAATAACAACAATCATAATGAAAGGAGACTTGTTGACTTCATTATCATTACGATATTTGTTAACTACCATAACGACGGTCATGCCTTTCATGCTCGATTGTCTCCGTTGTTCCGTGCATTCCATTCCCGGTCAAAGCGAGTAAGGGCTCTCTGCGCGGTTGGCACACAGTCAAGCGCTTTGATTGTAGTCCTCTCAGGACAGCTGACCATATACCATACCGCCTCAGCCAGATCCTCCGGCACGAGGGGTTCATACCCGTAGAAAAACTCATCCATCGCGTTCTGATCATACTTGACGCGCTGAAGATGAAAGTGACTGACCACGCAACCTGGCCGGAGGACTGAGACACGAATATTTGATTCAGCCGTTTCCATCCGCAAACTGTTGGTAAATGCCTCAAGACAGGCTTTGTTTGCGTGATATACAGCTTCCCCATCAAAAGGAGGGCATTCAAGCCCGGTGACCGACGAGACATTTATGATAGTCCCGCGTTTTCTGGGCCACATACTTCGGTTCAGCACGCTGTGGGTCATGTACATCACCCCAGTAATGTTCGTGCCATTCATTTGCTCTACCAGCTCAATTGGTAGTTCCCAGAATCTACCCGGTGCACCAAGAGCGAGCCCAGCCTTTGGCGATGGTCAGCTTTCACATCTCTTATCTCGAATCCCCAAAGCAAGCTTACATTGTTGATCAAAACCTCGATGTCTCCTAACGCGGATACAATAAGCTTCACAGCCGCGTTTACCTCCGCATGGCTTTGGATGTCAACGCTGTAGGCGCGAATCTTGATATCGGGGCATTTCCTTTCAATTCGAGCCTTCACAGCTTCTAGCTTGGGCTAATTTCGGGTTAATATTTCCCGTGGACCAACGTTATTGAGATACATACCCTGCTTCTTGCCAATAGAGCGACATTCATTCCTTTCTCTGCTAGGGTCATAGCAATAGCTTCACCGATGCCCATGGAGGCGCCGGTCTTAGAAGGGTGGCATCATTAGCAAGGGAGTGGAAAACTACGCGGAATAGACAGGACTCACAATAACTGCCGTGCGGCCTTTTAGGTTCGACTCCATTAAAAACGTGATCAATCAATTTAAATGTTCACAAATTCTGTCCAAGAGATGTTACAGCCAGTACTGAGGTCTTGTTATAAATCTACACGGGGGATTGATCGTATTTGGTGGGGTTGGCGGGTAATGCCTTTCCGAAGTGGAGAACCCCGACTTGGCCAACTCTGGTTATGATATCAGCGTAGATTTAGGCTGAGTGTATACTACGCCTCTATTTCAAGGGTGCAAAGACGTATAAACCAACCTTTGTCTGTAAATACGTTTTGACCTTCGCAACATATTGGAATTTATGCTGTTGACACCAAAGTTTCTTTTTACAACAGAAACTCAACCGCAACATGGCAAATATCAGACCATTTACTGTAAGGTTTCTCATGGCTGGCGCAGTGAATTATACTGATCAGACAAACACCCAAGGTCCAAATTTCCGACATTCTTCTTGAGGAAGTCAAAGCGAAGCTCAAGATCGCTCGTCTCGATGAGCGCATGGGTGAGGTGGAATGGAACGACCTAGAGATTGGGCATGCCGAATTCAAGCAACTTCTGGAATTCTGGCGCGAAGAGTATGACTGGAGAAAATTCGAAAGCTTCCTGAATACGTTTCATCATTTCAAAACGCCGATACAAATTCCTGGTTTTGAGGCATTGGAAATTCATTTTCTGCATCATCCATCGTCACGGGCGGATGCGATTCCTTTACTATTTGTTCACGGATGGTATAGTAACATACTTCTTCTGGATTGCCGTTAAACATGCTAATGTACCCATATTAGGCCTGGGTCATTTCTCGAGTCACTGAAGATTTTACCATTGCTCACGGACCCTCCAGAAGGACGGCAAGCTTTCCATGTCGTCGCGCCATCTTTACCCGGGTATGGTTCGATACATGGCATTGGGCCATCCAGAGATGGTACTAGGGATCCACATAAACATGTTCCTAGCGCTTCCGCCCAGTCCAGAAATCTCAGCTGAGAAGTTCCAGCGGTACCAGAGGATGGATTATGATACGCAAGAGCTAGAGAACTTGGAGAGGACAAGATGGTTTGCGCATAATGAAGTGAGTAGTACTAAGCAGATGACTAACTGCTCTTTGCATCTGACTGGAGCCATTCACAGCGCGGATATCAGCGAGTCCAAGAGACAAAGAATGTGACGCTCGGTTACGCGTTACATGACTCCCCCGTCGGCATGCTGGCCTGGCTAGTGGGTAAACTAAAGGCATGGACTGACGACTACCCTTGGACAAAAGAAGAACTCATTCATTGGACATTCATGCACTATCAAGGAAGCCCGTGTGCAGCAATGCAAATTTATAAGGAGGCAGAGGCAGTCTTGAACGAAAACAGAAACAGTATGTTAGGCAGATACATAACCCAGCCCGTCGGTTGTTCGGTTTACCCAAAGGAGGTATGTCGGCTGCTGTTGAATTTCCGTGGCATGGGCTGACATTTCATCTACTGTGAAAGCTGTGGTTATATCCTCGTGACTGGATGAGCGAGACATGCAACATTCAGTTTTGGAAGCAACATAAATCCGGGGGGCATTTCATTGCGTGGGAACGACCAGAGGCCTTGGTGGCGGATATTGCAGAATTCTTCGACAAGGAAGGACCAGTCTTCAAGAACGGTGGAAGCCATGGCTGAGGCAATATGACGGGTTCAATAGAGCGAGCAGGTGGCCACAACATTCGGTCGAATGGGAAGTAAGATGAGTTCCTCATGACGTATTCTGCTCTAGTATCTTGGATATGGTTTTGTCATGCCCCTGTACCTTATGCGCAAGGTATAGGACACACAAACTGCACCAACTACGACCTCTAATATGTGGAATTAAGACGCCGGACGGGGACCGTCAGTTACAAATCTACAATCCACGTCATGCAGCCTGGGTTCTCCTCAAATAGCACCTATATCCTCCATTAGTCCTCACTCATTCGGAAGGAACCGAAGTGTGATAATAGAGACCGATGTACTACCGAGCACTACTGCCGGTGAACCCGCAAAGCGTTGTTAGTAGAGTGCTACTCGAGCATTTGACTCATGTGCCAAGTTGATTAGTCTTACTAATACAAATTCTAGGTGGATTCTTGGGAGGCCCTCGTTCCGAGAAGGGGGAGAACTTAGTTGTCCTAAGCATAAAAAGCTCTTGGGGGGGGCATGTGCTGTGTGTTGATGATTAGTACCCTATATATATGTAGATCGAACATTGAGCTTACTACGATAGGCATGAAATGTAGAATGGGACTGTAGTTTATCAAACGTTTTGGAATGTTCTTTGTAGGCTCTCGTATAAGCGTTGAGGACCCTGCTCTCGAAAGTACATATTAGTACTGGCCTACTGGCGTGTAGTACAATGTGAGATGATGTAGAGAGAATTTAGATCTGAGTAATTAAGCGGGAACATCGCTCCGTTGCATGAATTTTTTCTCATGTTGTATAAGGGTTCACCAGCTGGTTTTGTGTCCCCTGTACAGGGTATGGATAAACATTTACCGGATATAGAGTCGGCAGTCTCAAAAGTAGGTCAAGCTCAAGCCAAAACCGCGGCAGAACTCCTTCTGAAAGGGAAACCTGGTACCGCTGGTAAAAAGGTCTGCTGATTGGCTCGCACTACCAGCTTGGCCTTGGCACCGATAACGCTAAACCCTTTCTGGGGCTACTTTGCGAGTGGCCCCATAGGGCCACGACAGCGCTAAACCGCAAAGAGACGAGGGTCTGGCACACGTGACATCCACGGAGCGTCGATCCCGCCCGATATCCGATTGGTGGCGGAAAGCCGTCGCACTTCCCCTCTTCCAGACGGGGACCTGAAACCTTGCAGTTGCTGCCCGCTTGCTATTCTTTTTTTGCACTGGAATGAATCACATCGTCGGTCTCGCAAGCACTGCCTATTCCTGTTGCATGCAAATCACAGCCTCTTCCATTCTCCGAGGTGACCTGCATCTGTCCTTGCCTGCATCTAGTAGCTTCGTCTCCGCCGCTTATACACATGGTGTTCCCTGGAAGGCTTAGCACCGGCTGCTATGTATGCCGGAGGCGTAAAGTGAAGGTAAGTTCGGTAAATATGATAAAAACTGTTCTGTCTCTTCTTCTACGTGATTCTTAACTGACCTGGAACAGTGTGATGGGGCTCGACCAGCATGCCGTCGCTGCGTCACACAGGGGAGGCAGTGTACGGGTTATCCGGATGCCTTCGCCTTTCGTGAATATAAAGCCACGAAAGAACCTCAAGCAGGCAAGGCAGCAGCCAGGAAACGAACCAAAAAGACTACGGACGGTGAACAGCCCGCGAGTGGCTCAACATCACCGTCCGCGGCAGTATCAGACCAAGATGGAACAGATACTCGTCTGATTCCCACTAAATCCCCATCCACACCACCTAGTCCTCCTGCTGCGATAACACCATGTCTGGAGTGGCAGTCACTCTGTTATTTCTTTCATCAGCATGTCCTGCCTACCGAGAAGTCTCCCTGTGAGGGTCATCTTGCCTTCCTTCCTGAGCTATATCAGGAGAAAGGCAATGACCCTTCCCTGAGACATGCCATCATTAGCGTATCTTACCTTTCGTTATTCAACACCGCTCGCGTAAATGAGCTTTACGTGAATGCTAGGAAGCATTATGGCGTGGCATTGAAATCGCTCACAACGTCACTCAGCAACAAGGAGACCTCGACTCAAGACGAGACGTTTGCAGCTGCGCTGTTCTTGAGTATGTTCATGGTAAGTTTACCAATATCGACCCGATTAACCGGCACCGCTTGCTTACCAAACCTCAGGATCTAAGCGGCGAGAGACAGGGGGCAGTGAATCCTCACATCCCTGGAATTTGCTCTCTAATGCATCTTCGGGGTAGACCGGAGCGCAGTAGCAAATATGCCCGCAAGCTATTCGGTTGGGCATTCACTCAGATAGTAAGTCAAACCACTGTATTCACAAAAGCCATTGTTGACTTAGTTTGTACGTTGCAGCAAATTCAAGCGGTAGCCAATAATCAGTTTGCGTATGCCTGCTTGCCAGCATCTATCAATATGGCGTACAATCCCGACTACGTGCTACGCTCAGGGATAATCACCAGTATGATCTCCGAGTTTTGTCACGGGGCCAGCGAGTTCCGAAGAACCGAACACAACTACCCACCCACCGCCAGGGCCCGGTTATTGCATTCCATTCTGGGAAGGGCGTATTTCATCATGGAACAAATCAGCATTTGGGATGAGGCAGTCCCTCAACATTGGAAACGCCAATTTGCCGTGCCGGGTATGGGCCAAGTGAATCATGCAGAGCAGGCTGCTTCGCGAGATCCATGGACCCCATGCTTCTTGGCCGTCGTCCAGGCAGCACAAATTCTCTATCTCGTCCACGTGTTCGAGTGTTGGGAGAAGTACGTTCCATTTGCATCTGCGATAAACGATGAAAATATTGAATATTTCCCTGTAGAAACATTCAGCGGGATAGACGGTCGGATCAGAAGCCTGATAGAGGTGATTTGCGACACTGTGACTTACACATTGGGACATGTCACCACAAATCATGAATTCCAGCTGCACCCCAACAGCAAGCTGGCGAATGGATACACGCTTCTGTGGCCGATGTGGGTGGTTGTAAATTCCGGGCTTGCGACAGCAGACCAATTGACTCTATGCCGGCTTGCTCTTGAGTGTGTTGGTTCGACCATGGGTTACCGGTTGGCCTCTGTCTTGTGTGCAGATGGTAGACAGGAAGAACCTCGTTCACGCATACTTGAACAATCCTCAATGACTCGCAGCCTCACGGCCGTGCAGTAAACCGAAATTTTATGAACCTTTCATGCCGTGTCATGAGACACGATGACCATTGTGATATATACCCTCGATGCTGAGACGAAGCAGTTTCGGCGACTGTGTGCCTCGACTAATTTCCCATGTTGCATTCTCATTTCAAAAGCTGAATACCTTTTTCATTATTAATATATCTTTTGCCTCTTTACCCAAGATAATATCCATGCTTACCTGTACATATTCTGCTCAAACCACGTGTATTCGTGCTGTGTATCTCACCTATCTTGGAGAGCAGGGAGCAAAGCAACTTAAATACTTCTCAGGGGATATTCCCCAGAGCGCAGATTGAAAAGCAACAACTCCCACTGGACGAAAAGCAAATAAAAAAGTCTGCTAGAGTGAGACAGCAATAAGCCAGTACTCAACAGCCCCAACTGCCTGTTCGCAAAGGGCCACCAGAACGGGTTAGCGAGGTGATCTTCGTAGGGCTGTACAGGATAAGCCCGGGGTGAAATGCCGTCCACTCGGACACTGAATATCTTAGTGAGCCATTCTCACAGGGGTCAATTGCATGTGACGGCTGGAAATTAACCGTGCTAATATTGCGCGTAGGATTGCTCGGTTCGGGCCCGTCTAGACTGACAGTGATAGATTTCGGGGTATGGCCGGGGTCGGCGTCGGTTTCCGAATGTGGCAATCGGCGGCGAGGGGACCCAGATTGACAAGCAGAAGTTTCGTGTGGCACTCATCGCAGCACTGCCACGGTGTCAAGGGAGAATGTCACTATCTTCATTGCTGAAAATCTCTGTTCAAGTATACAAGACGGTTTGCTCATGTGATATGTGAAGATGTGATGCATGTAGAATCTATAGTCGCAAACTCAACTAACTACCCAAACCCAATACCGTATAATAACTCCAGTATAACATGCAAAAGAAAGACCAATGAAAGCTGTGCGAACTACCGCCATACCGGGCCCCAGTAGTCATTGTCCCCCTGAAAGGCGCTATCATACTTCTGGCATCGCGGATGATCGTAATCTTCCTGTGACCCCTGCGGCCAGATAGGAACAGCACAGAATTCATCATCCTGGCAACCAGAACACTCCTTCCATATACTCCAGTCAAGATAGTGCATCAGGTCCTGCAGAATAGTTGTCACTATACCGTACTCCTTAGCCTCCATGACTGCCATAAGACTGCTGCAGATCCTACTGCTAACAGTATAGACAGCTCAGTAGCCCAAAGAGTCCTTAGGAGCATGAGTTGGAATGAACTGGCTAGCACATCGGTCAATCTCAGCGTAGTAATCACGATTGTCGCGATCGACAAATGGGGATAATATACACTCTGCCGTCTCCATAATAAACTCGAGACGAGCAGCCTGATCATCATGATGGGCAGATACTAAGCTGCGCAGAATGCGACCGTATTTCTCAACCATCATGTCCACCACTCCTTGCCAGTTTATCACCCGCGTCGTAGGATCGTGATTCATGACTAGCGCAGTCAAATCATCCCTAATGGGCGCAAGCGACAAAGTAGGGAGATGCGCAAGACGCGGATGCTTGCTACCACCATGGAACAAATCAAGACCATAGTCATATGCCGTGACGAAAGCGTCATAGTTGACAATGACCCGGTCGCCGCCAATGCCATGGTACCTTGATGTGACCGTCCGAAGCAAGTCACTAGGTTTGCCGCTCTTCTTTGCAGGATCCCGAATGGGAAGCGTCACTCGAGCAATATTGACCGTGTCTAGCTTCTGTTCAGGATTACAGAGAATGATTTCAAAACCCGCTGCCATCCGGATCACGCCGTCGACACGTCCATTCCATTCCTCTTGCGCGATCTCTCAGATGGCGCGAGCTCACGCTGACTCTTGACTTACGCCTCCAGGCTCCAGTTTATCTTCAAATAGGACACGGTCCTGCAGGTCCAGCGTGCCTATTTGTGACTTCCCCGCCGAGGTACCGTCGATGTAAACGAGGCGAAGGTCTTCCGTGGTTGCGTGGGTGTGAAGCCAGCCAGTCTCAGCTGGAGTGATCATTACTTGCTGGGACTCTGAGTCCACGTTGTGAGATGGTTGTTTTGAAGGAGGACGGGCGAATACCATGGCGTGCTCGGGGTCGAAAGCCATCCAGCCTATCCTGGAGATGGGGTGTGATCGTGCGTCGCCGTGATAGAGCTTGACTCCCTTCGGGACAAAGGCAAGAAGAAAAGTCATTCCATTATGATGAAGTGATGATCCCCATTGTCGCATGGAGGAGTGGATGGCGTTGAAGATGTGGTTGGCGTTGTGCATGGGTTGCGGTTCCCCGATGGCGAGGGCTGTGGTGGTGGTAGTCATGGAGAAGGCTGCTAGGCACGTTAATAAAATTGATTGATACATGATCATCAAATCGTTGGAGATTAAATTGGACTCACCTCTCTCTAGGTTTGTTGGACTCTCGTATAGTTATATGGCGGCTGGCTATGCTGTTGTCCGCAGCTCGGAGGATCCACATTGAGCTCAAGCCGTCAGGGCTTATCCCCGAGCCTTGCTCGCCACCTAGTTATCTTTCCTTCCCTGCTGATTGACGCGTACTACGATTTTCGTCATGCAGCATCGGAGGTAAAGACGTGATTCTGGCAGTCTCTTATTTTTGTTCCTTACCCCTCATGTTCCCAATTATAGATCGGATGTTCCGATCAGCCCTACAAAGATGGATCATTGTCAGCCGACGGTGGGAATAATAGAATAGTTGCAATTTGATTCACGAAAATAATTAGTTCCACTAACTTTTCCACCGTAATAGCATTATGTGGCGGAAACTGACATTCCTAGCCCGTAAATCCGAATACAATCATCGCAATCACTAGCTGTTGCCTGGCCGTGCGCGGTAGGCAACTTCCTTTTTCAAGGCCCTCATCTTTTCTGTCACCCTTTCAAATCTCGTTAACGGTGTTCACCACAGCACCGACAGTAGAACATTTAGCCGTACGCTTAGGCATTGATCTCTCTGGTAACAATCTGCGATGGCATCCTATCAACCTCCTTGCTCTTCTCAATCACGCCCTCACTGCTGGACCGGCTGGCAGCCTTCTTAGGGCGGATTCTGCGCATGCAGGCCGAGAAGAACGGAATGTAGCCGTAACGTTCATTGTACCACATGCAAACATAGGCAGCGATGATACAGATCCAGTAGAGGTTGTAACCCAGCACGGATCCATAGGTGGCAGAGTTGGTCCAGCCGAAAAGGGCGTTGAAGATACCCCATCCACCACCGCTACCCAATTCGGGGTTGCAGCAGTTGACGTGCCAGACACTCTGGCGGATATCGTAGGAACCAGCTCCCGATCCCGTTTCGGACGCATCACCACCGATGATATTGTTCCAGGCGTTGTTCTGGAGGTACCAGATTGCACGGGAGAAGAGACCAGCGGAGACGAGGTAGAGGAAGCAGGTCGAGATGATCAGGAAGTATTGCAGGGAGGCAGTGTTACCACATCTATTGCAGAGGAAATATTAGCCAGGACTGCAAGCCCTTCCAGCACGAGAGGGCAGCAATAACCTGTAAAGAAGATATCCGACGGCAATACCGGCAGCAAGACCACAAACAACTGCGAGAGGGAACGAAGTAGCAGGGAGACCGAGACCCACACCACCGACATACACGACGGCCTCAAGGCCCTCACGAAGAACAGTCACGAACGGAAGAAGGAACATGACATATTTCTTGGACCAGTCTTTAAACCGCTGGTAGATACCAATCTTGGTCTTCTCCTTCTCTTCAAGAGCCTGGGCCAGCTTATCACGCCACTTGTCCTGCAGCTTCGAGATACGCAAGAGACCAGCGCCCATGATACTGATAATGATGGAAGCGATGAAACCGAAGATACCTTCCCAGATATCCTCACTACCGGTGAAGACATCCTTGTTGAGGCCGTAGAAGGCACCGATCATACCACCGCCGACACACAAACATATGAAGAGACCTAATGCTACACCAAGCCATACCTGGATTATGTAAGAAGGCAGAATGGTATTTGTATGGGGGAAGAAACATACATGTCGATTTAATCGTTTTAATGTTTGTACATCGCCTTCTCCTCCTAGTGTCTGCTTAAGGAAAGACAGAAGCGCGGAGACGATAATGACACTCTCGAGACATTCACGAAAGCAGATGAAGAAGACTGTAGATTGTGAGTACTAGATCAAAGAGCAAATGCCTTGCTATAATAAGGTGCAAGAGTGAGATGTATCATACCTGTCACTGCAAACACACTGTTGGCCATCTTGTCGACAGTAAGCCTCGTCTAAGGCAACTCCAAGAGACAGTTGAAAGCGTCAAAAGTGAATGAGAGTCCAAGCCAAAGAGGTCCTGTCCCAGTTCCTGAAATGACCGAGGGAGATGATAGCAACATATACCCCAGCGGATCAACGGCAGATTTCTCTAAGTCCTCTCCGATTCCCGCAACCCATTCGGATGTGTCTTTTCAGCGGCCCAGGTGCCACCCCAACCATCCATAGAGACACCACACCGAAATTGCCATGGCACTAAGAGCAAATTTGACCGGGACTCCAGCGTCCGGCTGTATACGATGCTGAATTATCTACGTAACAAAAATGGTCACGCCGGTTCTTGCTTATCAATCTTCACAGGGAATAATCTCTGGTCATATGCCTAAAGTATGGCTATCGCGGCATGCAAAGGGTCTCAGAGGCGTGCCTTGGTAACTACAAGCGGGTCAAGAATGTTTGCCAAGATGCAGGAAAAAATCTGATAGCGAGGAGTCAGAAGCGATTGGTTTACTGGAGTCATAGGCATGGATCTGATAAATCGTACCCGGTTAAAAAATGGGTGCCCCATCGGGCGGATGGTTGAAGTTTGGGTTGATAGTCGGCTGTAACGATACAGTCATCGTATTCCGGATACTTCAATATCTTGCCAAGAGACACGTCAAGATATGGCATTATCACGAATTCACTATGGGCAATGCTCCTTTGACAACCACGTAACAGAGGTATGCTCTGCTCTTGTCACAAGGTACGATCTACTCAGTCATACACAGGAGATCGACTGAAAATGTGTCATTCAACGCCGTCATTGTTAAGTGACAACAACGCTGACGAGAATTTTTACTGAGGTACCTGAACCAAGACGTTGGATATGGTCGAAACATGGCTATAGTGACAGAGCTTAGTGGAAAATTCAGCTAGATTGATGAATTAGGTGTATGTGGGACCCCGATGTTGGTTATTATACCTTCATAGTTGGGAGGACTAAGGTTTAGGGGAAGAGCCATCTAGAGGGACGCCAGAGTAGCCAAGGGAGAAATCTTCTCCCACCGATGCTACTCACACTAACTGAAAGTAAGACCACTGCCACTTGACTAATGCCCTGTTCTTGTATATCGAGGCGCCAGTGCGGTTGTACTAGTGGTCGATTTGACCTGCATCATAGAATCGACAATTACTCGACCCATGGCCGAACAAGACAGGACGGCTGCAACCACACACGACGTCCCGATTCAATCTATACTTAGCTGATTCGCATCTGCAACACTCCCCAGTGCTCCAGAATAACGGTGATGTGCATGGGACCAAAGCCGTTCAAGTTACCTTTCAAGGATCGTCAGGCACACTGGACGTAAAATTACCACTCGTTCCATACAAGTATCGTTGATTGATAAGTATGACCCATAGAACTCGGTTGCGCCATGAAATCTTAGCGTGCTCGCTAATTAAGCTTTAGGTTAGGCTCGCAAACTAATTCCCTTCTTTCTCATAACCTTCCCTCGGGATATCAGCGGCGGACCGGTGGGACCGCCATACGGGGAGTTCTCTAGTGACTTGCATCTCCTCCTCCTATGGGTCATAGGGCCATTAGATGAATGGGAGGCGGGGAGGGATCGGTTGCTTGACTCGGACAAAGGTGGATACTGGATGCGAAGTTCAACGGGCCAAATTTTGACTGCCTCCAGGCGTGGGATTGACGCCCACATATCTTCATTGCAAAAAGGGTTTCTCGCCGATAAACTCTAGGGACCGATGCAAGATTTGCCGGTTTACCCAAGGTTATTCGATTGTGACATACCATGGTCACATGTCCAGTACTCGTGCGGTCATATTGCCCAACTGATAACCTGTGCTTTGAGCCAGATTTTCATGATTGATAGGAGCAGTCTGAACCCAATATGTGCAACGTACAGCCCAACTATGAACAGAATGTCATGCCAAGCGGCAAAACTATCACAATCATACAATGCGTACATAATTGCCGCAGGAACGCGGACAGTTTACCCTGAAACGTGTATACTTTGCGACAACAAACCTGGAACAACCGCACCGAACGTGGGGAGGACTCCCAATATGGTAAGAATTTGATGCCAAGATAGACCGTGTCAATCCGCTATCTCGCTTAGGACCACCCGGGGCTCGGATACAGCGCCCGAGGCAGATACACCAACTACCATTTCTAAAAGGAACCTCCCAAGTCATGAGTCAAAGCCGGGAGATGACCGACGGCCCGTACGTCGCTGCGTTATTGCCAAGCACGGCCTTCCAGCTGGTGGCACCTTGTTGGTGGGTTGTTCAGGTACAAGTGGCCAAGAATTTCTTGTCAGTCATATGGCCGCTGCTTGGCCTGTGAATCTTATCTGATGAAGCTTCGGCGATATTAGTCTTGGCAGCCCACATGGCCGGTGGGCTCCGTCGTCGGTGGCTACAGATACGGGCTCCTATGAACGGGGAAGAATCACTTTGACGAGAATTAGGCATACGTATACTTGGTTGGATCGTTATTTCCGACTTATCAATCTCTTGCGTCTTGGCACGTCCAACCATATGGGTCAATGGTTCGTGGGCGCAATTAAACGGACCAGTAGATGGGGTATGTTACAACGCTTCCCACCATCGGCTGCTCCGGAACTTTGCACAAGGCATAACTGGAGAAGAAATCTCTGCTAGAGAAACGCCTCTTTCTAGAGACTTCAGTTGGTGGGCTCGGATGTATTTGCAATCCAGCGATTAGAATGGGTCCCATTAGGCACCGTATGACAATAGAAGGCAAAATTCTGGCCAGACATATATACCCGGCAATAGGCTTCCTCGACTTGGTCAGACAGACTTTGAGCTCATCCATCTCAACATGCGTTCCCAGGCTGCCATCCTGCTTGGACTGAGCTGGGCCGTGAGCCCGGTCCTCGCCGGACAGGGCTTGACAATGTCGGCACCCAATCTGGCTGATTATTGCTTCTACGCTATATATTCGTCTCTCGGTTCATACACATTCGAAGGGGCAACCTCGACATCGTCGAGCTCCGGCACCACAGCGCATGGGTCTTCCAGCCAGTCTTCCTCCAGCA